ATGGCAAAAAGGAGAAGACGGCAGCCAGGCAAGGGAGGCAGAATACTGGGGGAACAGAGACAACCCCTACCCATTCCACCCAATCTCCTCTTCACGGCTCCTGTCTTCCCATCCACTGTCCTGGTGAGCGAGCAATCGGGTGATATCACCGCTGGAAAGGCAGGCAAGGAGCCAGTGCAGGCTAGCCCCGGCCATAGCTCCTCCTTGCCATCCTGCCTTGCCAGCCGCCTGCCCCGCAGTGACAGGCCTGGCATCGGGAACTGGTTGCAGGAACTGCCATCACTGGTGGGCCCCCTGCCAGCATCTGGGCCCTGACAGATGCCCAGCCGTGCCAAGCAGGGAAGCCAGGCCCGCTTCCGTAACGCTTTGCTAAAATCAAGGTCCGATTCAGAGGAAGCATGCCCACAGCTGTTTTCACAATGGACTCTGAGATACTTCTATCAATGCGACGCGTACGACCCGGTAGCTCCAAGTAAGAGTGCCAGTTCCCTCTCCACAAACTCAAGAGATTGATTCTGAAGTTCATACACAACAGGAGAACGACATATTTACTAGGAAGTAAATCCCACCTGGTTCAACAGGACTTATTACCAGTTAGCAGTGTTCCCTCTAAGCTGAGTTAGTGTGAGCTAGCTCACAGTTTTTTAGCCTCCGGCTCACACATTCTTGTCTTAGCTCAGGAAGGATGGCTCCAGAGCAAACTAATTTATGCAGCAGCCAAATCGCTCGCTCACAACTTTAATGCCGGTCGCTCACAAAGTGGAATTTTTGCCCACAAAAGACTCCACAGCTGAGAGGGAGCATTGGCAGAAAGCATGTAATCCTAGGCACACTTATGTGCAAGTAAATCCCATTTAACCTCAGAGTTCCTTTCAGGGAAATATGCACGGGATCAGAGACTGTCGGTTCAGTATAAATCACTGTAGAATGTTCACGCTTATAGGAAAGGACTATATTGAGTTAAAAGCTATTTAGGAGAACAGAGAGAAGTTCTTGGTCAAAGAGACGACTTGTTGGGTTTCCAAGCACTGCAAAGTAACACAAATAGCTTGTGGGGGGGTGGGAAATGTCAGAGAATAAAGAAGATTCAGAGCTATTTAGGAGAACAGAGAGAAGTTCTTGGTCAAAGAGACGACTTGTTGGGTTTCCAAGCACAGGTGGGTGGCTGTATCTGGTCTGAATGAAGCAACAGAACAAAGTTTGAGTCTGGCGTCACCTGTAAGACCACATGAAAGCTTATCCCCAGAATTATGCTTTGTTGGTCTTAAAGATGCCACTGGATTCAGACTTTGTTCTAGAGAATAAAGAACTCCCGGATGGCACACCTTTGTACAAATCAGGATCCGGTATGGATGCAGTAACTCCCTGCTTCTGTACAGTGAGAACTAAGCCTGTTGTGCAATGGCAAGACACTTCAACGACACTTGGTGACCAGTTCCCAGCAAAGAAAAAAATAGACACAAAGCCAAGCAGGGGAGCAGAGATAGCAGAATGCGTATTGGACAGATCTACGGCTAGAAAGGGGTGATGGCTCAGTGGAGGGAGCATCTGCCTGGCCTGCAGAAGGTCCCAGGTTCAATCCCCGGCATCTCCAGGTAGCAGGGATCTGGTAGCAGGGGAGGTGAACAAGACTGACCTTTATAGACCAAGGAGCTTCATGTTAATGTGAAGGCACTACAGTTGCCAACTCTGGGTTGGGAAAAATCTGGAGATTTGGGGGATGGAGCCGGGGCGGGGGGCAGAACCTCAGTGGGGTACAATGCCATAGAGTCCACCTTCCAAAATAGCCATTTTCTCCAGGGGGACTGATCTCTGTTGCCTGGAGAGCAGTTCTAATTCTGGGAGATCTCCAGGCCCCACCTGGAGGCTGGCAACCCTAGAAAGCACCTAGAGTTTGGACAGGCACAGGGTATGGACAGGTACAGTCCTGCAACAGGTGGGTTGGGGGAGCTCCAGACATTTGCAAAAGAAATTATGTTTCAGGTACAAAGTTTGAGTCCAGTGGCAGCTTTGAGACCAACGAAGCTGAATTCTGGGTATAAGCTTTTGTGTGCAGGCACCCTTCTTCAGATCTTCTACTTGCAGAAGCACGGAGACTCTTAGGAATACATCCGTTCCGACAGGTGGACATTCTCTATGATAAGCCTATCAGGCTGCATTCCAGGATTTTTAAACATTTCTGTTTGTTTATTCATCCAAGCAGGATGAGACATGCTTCAAGCTGAAATCTGTTGCAAGTGAATTCCCAATGTACCCTTGGAGTCCAGGGCAATCACAGGCGAGATCAGCGGGATATATTTAATAAATAGCTTTTTTGGGGGGGGGAATCTGGTCCAAGTGCCTTATAGCGATCCTGTTCTCAGGGCCGGCTCTAGGTGTTTCTGCACCCTAGGCGAGGCTGCCTTATGGCGCAGATGCCAACCTCCCGTTGGGGCCTGGAAACCTGGAGACCTCTGGAGCCAGCCACCCTTTTGCTGCCTGGAGACCTCCGGAGCCAGCCACCACCACCAAAGAGGGGGAGGGGGGGAGGCACAGCTTGGCGCCCCATCCAGGGCCCGGCACTCTAGGCGAATGCCTAGTTCGCCTAGTGGGTGAGCCGGCCCTGCCTGTTCTGCACAAGCGGCATGTGCCATTCATGGAGCGCAATCAGCAGCCAGATCGGTGTCTCTTTTTTTAGGAACAAATATTTTGTTCACCAGTTCTGGTTAGTTAGTAAAGTTTGAAGACTGGCCAAAATGTTCTCCTTAGGAATATCCGGAGAGGGGGGGGGGAATCAACTCCGGTATTGTTGATTTTTCCCCCTACCGGTGCTTTACATTTTTGCCTGCGCATAAAATGCCAATCTTTGTCCACCTGCCTATATCAAGCCAGTTATCGTCCCAGCTTCTATACAATTCATAAAGCACAAGCTCAGCAAAAACCAAGGCGGAGAGGAAGGAAATCACAGTTGCGTGTGTGTTTATTACTTTAAATAATAATTCTCCCACATATCCCTTCCTCATTCAAATCTTTGGATTTTAGCTGGCAGATAAATGACCAGCTCGGCTTGCAAATCTCCCCCCCCCAAAAAAAATCTGCTCTTTGCAGCTCCAGCATCTTTATGCACGTTTACTTGCAGAGAAGTCCCACTACGCCCAGCAGGCTTACTCCCAAGCAGTGTTCCCTCTAAGCTGAGTTAGTGTGAGCTAGCTCGCAGTTTCTTAGCCTCCGGCTCACACATTTTCTGTCTCAGCTAAGGAAGAAGGAGGGCTCCAGAGCAAAAGAATTTATGCGGTAGCCAAATTGCTTGCTCACAACTTTAATCCCAGTAGCTCACGAAGTAGAAGGTTTGCTCACAAGACTCCAAATCTTAGAGGGATCATTGCTCCCAAGTTAGGGCGCCCAGAATCTTTGCAGCTCCAGCATCTTTATGCACGTTTACTTACAGAGAAGTCCCACTACGCCCAGCAGGCTTACTCCCAAGCAGTGTTCCCTCTAAGCTGAGTTAGTGTGAGCTACCTCGCAGTTTCTTAGCCTCCGGCTCACACATTTTCTGTCTCAGCTAAGGAAGAAGGAGGGCTCCAGAGCAAAAGAATTTATGCGGTAGCCAAACGGCTTGCTCACAACTTTAATCCCAGTAGCTCACAATGTAGAAGGTTTGCTCACAAGAGGGGCCAGACCGTCGAGCGCCAGCATGGAGGGAAAGTCCTTGCAGTTGGAGACGCCGGTGGAGTCGGTCACGCAGGTCTTCCAGAGGTTGGCCCAGAAGGTGGCCGTGGTGATGACCGTGCCGTCGATGGAGGACACCTTCCAGTAGTCGGTGGGCAGCGTGGACGACACCAGCACCCAGCCGGAGATGACCAGCAGGAAGGCGACGAGCTCGGCGGAGCCGCTAGCCATGGCGGGAGAGCGGGAGTCCGGCCGGAGCGCACCAGTCCGCCTCCGCCTCCTCCTCCTCTCAGCGCGGCCGGCCGCCGGTGGCCCTGCCGGAGACCCCACCCCCCCGCCCTCCTCCCGGGGAGGAGGAGGGGAGGGGCCAGCCGGCAAGGGCCAAGGCTGCGCGGGCAGGCGCTCCGGCGGGAGGTCCTCTCCGTGGAAGCTTGTGGAGGGCAGGGAGATCCGGCAGCCGGCTGGGGGCGGGGAGAGGACTCAGGAACGCTCCCCCCCTCCCCCCGCGCCCCGTACTGAGTCACCCGCTCGGTCTGTCTCCTCTTTGACTGGCAAGGACAACGACGGATCCTGGGCAATGCTCCCTCTCAGCTGTGCAGTCTCGTGAGCAGAAATGGTGCTTTCTGAGCTACCGGCATTAAAGTGGTGAGCGGGCCATTTGGCTGCTGCATAAACTAGTTCGCCCTGGAGCCGTCCTTCCTGAGCGGAGACAGAAATGTGTGAGCTGGAGGCTAAAGAAACTGTGAGCTAGCTCACACTAACTCAGCTTAGAGGGAGCACTGGTTCCTGGGTATAAGATTTCCGCTTCTTCGGATATCTGAAGAAGCCCACATGCACACAAAGCTTCTACCCAGAATTAAACTCTGTTGGTCTTCAAGGGTGTGACTGGACTCACTATGTTCTATTGCTTCAGACCAACAGGGCTACCCACCTGAATCTATCTTTGACTGGCAGTTACTTTCTAACCCACATTACAATCAGTGTTCCCTCTAAGCTAGCTCACAGTTTCTTAGCCTCCAGCTCACACATTTTTGTCTTCTCTCATGAAGGAGGGCTCCAGAGCAGTAGCCAAACTGTTCGCTCACAACTTTAATGCCAGTCGCTCACAAAGTGGAATTTTTGCTCACAAGGTACATTAGGGGTGTGTCGCCTAATATGCGAAGGAGTTCCTGCTACAAAAAGAGCCCTGCGTCACAAGACTCTACAGCCTAGAGGGAGCATTGATTCTGGGTATAAGCTTTCAGATATCAGAAGAAGTGTGCATGGCAACAAAAGCTTATACCCAGAATTAAACTTTGTTGGTCTTCAAGGTGCCGCTGGACTCAGACTTTGCTCTGTTTCTTCAGACCAACAGGGCTACCCACCTGAATCTATCTTTGACTGGCAGTTACTCTCTAACGCAGTTACATTCAGGGGTCATTTCCTGCAGGAGCGCACAGGAGCGGAGCTCCGGCAGTAAAGAGCCCAGGGGGCGGACACATGCAACAAGCCCCACCCCCTGCTCCCAGCAGCCCTCAGTCAGAGCAAGAAGCAGCCAGGTAAGTTGCAGAGCCCCCCCCCCAGCCCCCGGTCCAAAACAGTCCAGTGGCATCTTTAAGACCAAGTTTTATTCAGGTACAACCTCTCCCTCCTCTGCGAGGGCAGATGCGTGGTCGTGTCGCTTCCGGGTGACGTGCACGTCACGTACTTTGGGGGTGGGGTCCCCCCCAGGGCCCGATCCACTGGTGGCGAGGAACGGGCCTCTGGGGTGGGGGTTTCCCCGCCCCCCCCCCGGGAGGACTTGGCAAGCCTAAGCTGCCCCCGAGCAAGCAAGTGGGGGGCCGGGCTCCGGAGCTGTCGGGGGCTGTGGCCATCTTGCTAGGAAGGTCAGGGTAGTGGTGTGGGGTGGGCTTGTGGGGTGGGGGTTTTCCCCGGGCTCGGGCCATGCTTTGGAGCCATCGGGGTGGCTGTGGCCCCCTCTCTGGGAAGGTTGGAGGTGGGGGATTTGCGGCAGAGCGGGGCAAATACGCTGTCCTCCAAAAGGGGACGTTTCGCCAGCCTGAGGATTCTGTTACACGCCCCCTTCCTCTGCTCCCGTCGGGAGTTTCAGAATGCCCTTACCCTCCTCTGTGGGATGGACTGGAAAAGAGAGAGACAGGTGTGTTTTTTCTGGAAACCCTGGGGGAGAGAACAACAACGACAAAAGCATGGCAGAAATCCAACCCTCCTCTTTGGAAATAAAGCAATGATATTTTCCCCTCCTTTGCTCCCGGCAGCGGGGCTTCTGAGCTCTGGAAGGCTTTAAAAATATGCTAATGAGCTCCTGAACCTCTTTTTCTACAAAAGGACCCCTGGTTACATTAAACATTCCTGTAAACAGCGAATGACATACACTTGGTTTCCCTGAAGAAGCGTGCGTGCACATGACAGTTTATACCCAGAATAAATCTTTGTTCGTCTTAAAGGTGCCCCTGGACTCAAAACTTTGTTTTGATTTTCCTTGGTGCGCATATTGAGTTATTGGCTGCGGTCACACGGGTAGTTTGTGGCGCTGTAGTAACTTAAGCAGAATGATTGGGCCCCTCCAGATGAGAACATCTGCCTCCCGTGGCGCAGTCGTCGGCAACCCGTACTGTTCCACATTGGAAGCAGAATAGACAGATACTGGGGAATGTTAACAGGTTGTTCAGGGTTCTCTCTGGGTTTCCCAGCATCTGAACTCTGCTGCAGCGAAAAGAACCCAGAAGGGACGTCTGAACCTGCAGATCCGTTTCTGCCGCTGGGATGGTTTTCTTTTTCTTTAGTTTTTGCCTATGTGCACATGAGCGCTCATGCACGTAAGTGCAGGTGTGCACGTATGGGCGCATATGCACCCACCTGCATTTTTAAGAATGACCGGGCAGCGCGCTCCGTGGCTGAGGTGCTTCAGTGATATGGATGCTTGACCCAGGGACGGCCACGTGGGTAACCTCCAGCAGGGTGTGCTGAGCTCCTTCCTCTGTCCAAACCCCGGCCTCCCGAGTCTCGACTCCAGGTTTTCCCCAAGGAAGACATGGTAACCTTGCAGGTTGAGAGATTAAACATCACTTCCTATCGGATTATTTTAAACTGGAGATGGTGACAGGACCCAAGTCAGAAATTTCATGGTGAGGTGACATTTATTTATTTATTTATACTTATATTTATACCCCGCCCACCCTGTAAACAGGCTGTGGGCGGCTTACAAAAGATGGCAGAATGTGCCAAATTAGCATAAAACCATAAAAAATAAAAACACTATAAAATATTCTTAACATTACAACAATACATTAAGGTGCTTGCAGTATTAAGATAGGTGGCGTAAATTTTCATTCCGGCAATCTTCTGAGCTTACAGCCAGTCCTATGGTCCAGATATTAATGGCATAGTCCATAGTGGCCAGTTCCATATTCCTGATGTTCAGTGGAATAGTTGATGGTAACGGTGGTGGTGGCAGCGGCTCCTATTTGAAAGCCTGGCGGAAGAGCTCCGTCTTGCAGGCCCTGCGGAACTGTACAAGGTCCCGCAGGGCCCTGATCTCCTCCGGGAGCTCATTCCACCAGTAAGGAGCCGCCACTGAAAATTCCCTGACCCTGGTGACGGTGAGCCTCGCGTCCTTGGGGCCTGGAATAGTTAAACGCTGCTGTGCCCTGGGGGGGGGGGTAGCATACCAGATCCCCCCCTGTCAAAACCTAGAAATTCACTGGGTGGAGCCTGATGATGTCATGGGATGGGGTGGTCCATCCTGGTGATTTTGCATTGAATAGGTATAGTAATAGTACTACTTCCACACACCACTAGGTAGGTACCACATGGTATCTCTGTGTAGTCACAGTCATGTGATCTTGCCAGTGTGGTACCTGCCTTGATAACATCTAGATTAGATTACTGCAATGCACTATGTGGGGCTGCCCTTGAAGACTGTCCAGAAGTATACTCCCGATAACAGTTATTGGCCCTCTTCCCTAGTTCTGGTGGTGTTTGTGTATGTGTTTCTTCTGAATTATTTTATAATTTTAAATTGTTCAATTTTTTAAAATGTTTGCCACCTTCGGGACCCTGATCAGGTAAAAAGGCAGCATAAAAACATTTAAATAACATAAATAATAACTGTGGCTTTGTAGAGATGGGCATTTTTCAGACTAAAGAAATTAACTATGTGCTAAATGTAAAATGTAGCTGAGCTTTTTGTGCCAATCGCCACCTCCCATCTCCGGTTTGTTTGTGGCATAGTCATCACAACCGACCATTTATCTGCAGTACAACGAACCACCAGCTATTCATGGGAAAATTATTTGCTTATGATCATGCTAAGGACTCTTTGTTGATATAACTACAGGACTTATGTTCTCCTCTAAAAGATGCTGTAGGGCAGTGTTCCAACCTGCGCTGGGAAAGCTAGGAGTGACTAGATGGGAGTAAACAGCAATTAATCAGTGCCTTCATTACTAAAATGGGAGATTCCCAGGTTGCATCTGCCTACTAATTGCTTCCTCCTAACCTGATACCAGGTCGATATTTACTGCATTAAAATATTTATATCTTGCCTTACCTCCTGAGCCTCAAGGCAGCCAGCAAAGCAACAGTGTGCAGTTCCTGTGTAGTGAGGGGAAAGTGCTCTGTGCATGTGGAGAGTGTTTCCAGACTTAGCATCCAGATAATTGCTTGTTCTTGGTACAGAATTATTTAGTAGTGATAAGTGACAGGACTTAACAATGCCTGGGTGTTTTGCCTCATCCACCATTGGGCATAATTTTAACCTAACTGGTAAATTTAACAAGCCTCTTATCTGTTGTAGATTGCCACGCACTAGACTTTTCTTTGTCAATGTCATCTTTATTCGGTTGAGCAGGTAGGGAGTGGGAAGATGTAGTGCATGTTACTTTAATTCTTACCAGCTTTGTTGTGCCGGATGTAGGAAAGACTGGGCCAGAGGTCTTCCGAGAGCCAGTTTGGCGTAGTGGTTAAGTGCGTGGACTCTAATCTGGGAGAACTGGGTTTGATTCCCCACTCCTCCACTTGCACCTGGCTGGATGACCTTGGGCAAGCCATAGTTCTGTCAGAGCTGTTCTCTCAAGGACAGTTCTGAAAAGAGCTCTCTCAGCCCCACCTACCTCACAGGGTGTCTGTTGTGGGGAGGGGAAGGGAAAGGAGTTTGTAAGCCGCTCTGAGACTCCCTTGGGTAGTGAAGGGCGGGGTATAAATCCAATCTCTTCTTCTGTTGTGAAAGATTC